TTAGGTTGATGCCGCTTTTGATACACGGGCATAAATACCAGCGCTTCTGCAGATCAGAGCTTCCTAGAAAGTTTGGGAGAAGTTTGCTTATTTTTCAGGGTACAATTCTTAATTAGGAAGTCATCACTGGTCTCATGCAAGGTCACGAAAGTGGGTAGATAACGCTTGTCAACGCGTAGCTCGACCATTAGGCTGGTGTCTCCCAGAGAGCGGGAGTTTTAAAACTCCGTGTCTGTAGCTAGGCGACGTTTGTGTATATTGTGGTTTTTGTTTCTAATTCACTAAATGATTTAATGTATACCGGTAATAATATGCCGTCCCACCTTTTTTTTTTCTCTGTTGGGGGAAACAGAGCATATCTTCTGTGCCTTTTTTCGCACTTCATCAGTCACCTTTTCTGATCTCTTAAACATGAAAGTTTTAATTGCAACTGATGACAAAGGGTCCTTATCTGTACTGTTGTTCCTCAAGCCAGTGCACGATCGGAGTAGGCAGATTCCCGTTTAGGTTTGCTGGTGTGGAATTCCATGCCTAACCGACACTTCCTTAATTGGGATATAAATGTTCTCCACATTTAGTTCTGGTTTCTTCTTGTTAGGATAGTGGAGAGTGATTAATCCTCGACCGTTACTAGGTCATCCTTTATATTCTTATGTTTTTATAGGTAATGAGGGGTTTGGTTGGGAAGAGCGCGCTGTCATATTCATTGCGGTCGATTAACTCCCAGTTTTTGAGAATGGCCTGTTTTAAAGCCGATTGTTACACTTGTGGGTAGTAGGGCAAGACAGGGGGGAGACTTTATTTCTGAAGAATTCAACCTTCTCCTCAAAATCTTAAGAGTGTGTGCAGATATTTTTATATCTTGCACCTTCGCCCTTGATTAATCCGCCAAATGACTTACGGTGGGCTGAATCTCGAGCAAGATACTGAAATGTATCCGTTTCTTGATAACTACCCGAGTTTCAAGTTTCTCGTCTGTTCTAAATCGTTCGCCTCTGTATATGACCAGATCGAGGAAAGTTACTTGGTGGTGCAAAATCTCTGACGTGAACCTAAGCGTTGTGTCAATTTGATTTAGGGCAGTAACAAGTTCACCGGCTTAGCCTTCACTACCTCATGTAGCTCACAATTGAAGGATTGCGAGGAAGAATGATTTCTTTTTCATCTTTGTACAGGGTTATATCGCATATATCAGGACTGCACATGCTTCCCATTGCCACGCCAATTTTCTGTGTGAGAAACCTGCCATTGAATTCAAATGTGTTCCGATGCATGATAAATTCTAACAGACAGCGTGCGTGTGCTCTGATTGGTTTTGGTAGGCCTAAGGCGTACAGTCTTCTATCTGCCTCTTCAAGTAAATCACAAACCGCTATAGGCTTAATTGCTTCTCCTTGCGGGCCGTTCGTGTACATGGAAACAATATCCAACGTGATAAGAAGGCTATTTTGTTTCAATGTCACTTGGTTCAGTTTATTCATCACATGCGCGGAATCGCGTGTATATGTGCTTTGTTGTTTGACAGTTGGAAGCAAGAAGTAGTCCATATATTTATAAATCGATTAAGTAGACCTCTGCAACCAATGATAATTGGCCTCCCCACAAACCGTGTTCCTTCGGGCGTGAAATAAACCAGTGGGAGGCACGTCATTTGCGGGGCGGGGGGTGTCTGACCACATCTTCCCAACTCGTTATTTAGTCAGTTTTTTTGGTGATGTACTATCATACAACTTTGTTTTGACAAAATTTGGTCCATGAATGAGATAGGGTGAAATAAAACGTCTTAGGGAGGTTTTCAGGGGGTCCAAGGTCAAGGTCCAACCTCGGGGGGGGGGAGCCTGACCAACTTTTTGAATGACATGGACAACCTAATTAACGTTAAGGGGTCAAACCTTCTGGGTGAAAATAAATTAAAATTGAGTAAAATTTAATCTTGTGCCGATCATTGATCACCTTTCACTACCTAACTGTCATCCTATAAACTACCTGACATGGCCAAATCATCTGAAGTTCAAAAAAATCAAGAAGTATTACAAAACAAACGCAAACAAGAATCAACCCGAACAACCTGTTCCAGACAAAGATTAGGATAGATGTCATCAATGCAACTGTCATTGTTGACGCAATAATATATGTTACTGCATGATTTGTTTGGTAATCCGACCCTGGTTGAACGTTGGACATTGGAGAGGGTTGTTAGAACAACTGCTCGTATTAAAGGCAAAGATCTTCCACCAGTATCTGAAATACATACCGGGAGATTCAGGAAAAAGGCACATATTATTACAAGTGACCGCTCTTATCCAGCAAACGAGTATTTTGAGTACCGAAGTCAGGGAGGCGGTACAGAGCTAGTCGATTTGGCAACGTAGTTCTTTCCTCACCTTCTACCTCTGCAGTCCGGGTTCGATTTCTGGCCTTGTCCGCATTTGCATTGGGTTTTCAGTCCCTGACCCCGCGGGTTTTACCTAGACCACTCCTCAGGGGTTTGTCGAGATTGAACAAGGAACTATCATCAGCCATAAGAAATTTGTCCGCATGAAATAACGCCGCGGAGGACCACTGGATCTGGGGTGCCGACTAACACCCCCATGAGCGTTTCGAAATAATGAATGAACGTACGCGTTCAGCGAACGTCGCGTACGCTCGATGGAACTCTGCTTTAGGCCGTGAGGGTAAGTTTTTGTGGGGCAGTTACTCGGAATAAAAAATGACAGTATGCGGCAGTGCTTCCCTGGTCAAATTGATGCACAGCCCTGCTAAAATACTCAGTAAATGCTTGTGTGCAAACCCCAGGTGGTTGGCGCCAATCTGCAGGATGACAACGTCAGGAAGGATCGGAACTACCGACCACGCTTCCAACAGGAAATCGGGGAACTGGAACGTCTGGAGTCCTCGGTGTCCCATCCAGTGGATATGGGCCAGCCGATTAACCCTTCCCTGCGTATGTGTTTTTTAAAATTCCATTAAGTCTTTATACGGTGAGTGCGGTGACGCCGGTCTCATAATCCTGTTATTATTATTTTTTGAGCACGAATTTTCTTCTAAATGGTTGTAAGTTCTATGTACTGGGGTAGAATTGCCATGCCTTCTGGAGACCGAAAAGCCTCTAAGAGGCCAGACAGCCTTAAGAAGGTCGTTTATGGGTCACAGGCAAGGCCTGAGCAAGCCAAGCACCAGCTGATGTAAAAAAAAAAAACAACTAAACAAATAGCAACATTTTATAGTTTTATTTCGCTTGGAAAATATCGATATGAAAATTTTAAAAAGGTCTTTTAATTTATTTATAAACAGACATCCCCAATCGTACGTGATCTTATCAACAATTACTCCAATCTTCCTATTGGTGCTGCTACTGTGGACGCTGTAGTCCTTGTCTAACATCACAACACAGACTGTGTCCCTTCAAATGTTACTGAGTGAGTTTTTTAGAGCGATCCCAACTCAATATAATTATGACCTAAGCGAAGGTAGTGGAAGCGACAGTAGTAGCAGTGACATAATCTACACAGTCAATGACATTCTAAATCGTGTCAAAGACTGTGTCTTTAATCCAATTCCTTTAGATCAAGGAGACACTTTTGATCCTTGTACTAAATACTTCCCAGAACCACAAGTGAAAGCGATGACTCAAAGTCTAACAAATGATGAACCCATCTCAATGTTTTATGCAAATATTAGAAGTTTCGACAAACTTTAATGATCTTTTCTTGAACTTGGAAGAATTTGACCACAAATGTCACATCATCGGATTAACTGAAATTTGGCTGAATCATGAACCAGACTCCTTGCAAAATCTCTCTGGATATAAAACTGAGTTTAGAAATCGGTAAAACCAAAAGGGAAGTAGTGTAAGGTACATCAAAGACTCCTTCATAAACAACTTACGTCACGATCTAGCTATGCAATCTGATTACTATGACACACTTTTTATTGAAAATTAAGACAAAAACACGTACACAGAAATCATAGTTGGATTGATTTACAGACCAACCGGGTTAAATCTAACTTCCGTTTTACAGAGTATTCGCCGTAATTCTTTGTAGATTGCATCCGAGGAATTGCTTGGTAACTGCAACTTAAACTTTCTGAATTATGAGACTCGAAGCCAAAGCATTGATTTCTTGACAATTGGCAAACCTACCAGAATAGCAAGTATTACAGTCACTCTCATAGATAATATTTTGACCAATAGCATTGAAACTCATTCAAATGAAATCAAGTTATCTGAATTTAGTGATCGTCTAACTGTTTTTATATTTTGCTCTTTTTTACCCAAACCAAAAATATTTATTTGACAAACGCATACCTTATAAGAGAGTTAGAACATCAAGTTTTATGCTTTATAACAGTATAGAAAGGCTTCCAAATAAAAACAGTAGAGGACATGATGGGATCGATCATCAGGTTATCAATGATAAAGCTCCATGTAAAATGTTCGCTAGAGTACAAGATGATTTGAAAAGAGT